TTGTGAGCGACAGTGACAAATCATAGGAAATGGAAGGATTCCAGGTAATAAAAAGTTGGAAACGTGAACCTCGTAAATAAGAGTGTGTCAAATAACACCTGTAATATCAAACCAGACAAAGAAGCCTATCTGGACCAGAATGTAAGAACAGGTGGGAGATGGACTGCAAGGAAATGATTGAGAAAGCCAAACAACCTGTCTTGGCAGCATAGGTTTAAGGGAGGAAGAACCAGTTGGGATAGAGGACAATATAATAGGAATTTTAAAGGATGTGAGAAACATTAAAGGAATAAATATGTGTATGATGATGTGCACAAGCAACGAGGAGGAGGAGTAAATCGGTCTTGAGGGAGAGATGGTACAAGGAATGCATAGACAGTGTTTAAAATGGAGAAAGGGAAAGGGCATAAAGGACCACATTGTAATCCGAATCAAGCAAAAAAAAGGACATGAAAGGATCGGAAAAGTAAAGAAATGACAGGAGAAGATAAATCCCAGAGAAAAGAAAGGTGTTCGACAAGGCTACCCAATGGTCAAAGCAGACAAGCCCATGTCAAACAATGTCGTGAAGAATTAGGAAAGATGAAAAACAGATGGGTGAGAAGGGAAACCACATGAAACCAATCATCGCAGAAGGTAGACCATTGCAATTGTTAAATAGCTATGGAAGAAGGTCAGATGGTTCAGGAAAGGAAGGATGTGACATAAAGATTCTTTTCCTGAGCTGAGACAATGGATCTGACAAAAGCCATGCGTGAAGAAGGAGTTTGGTGAAATCTGGATGGACAATGTCTGATCAAAGTTAATGGAGTAGAGACCAAGACAGGGGTAAAGGTAGGTGAGATTGTACAAGTAAAGGCCAGAGCAGAGGGAACCATAGCTGTGCAGGTCAATACGAAATGGTTTGGATGAGGGTAAAACTCTGGACAGAAGTTGAATTACAGGGTAGGCATAGATGTGAAGACACCTCCAATCCTGACTGAACTGGGTTGGAATGGGAAACCAATAAAAAGGAAATTTGGTGTTCCATTCTGTGGCAAAAGCATCGATATGAGGTGTTTCCAGTTGAGAACATACCAACTGAAAGACATGAAGATGGAAGGACCACTTTGTTAGAAGAATCTGATTGGGATGAAATAATTGTTCCACAACCAGATTGACAGCACCAAGAACATGGCTTCCTAAGATCACCATGGGGTGATTGTGAGGTCAGAAAAGGATATCCAGAGTTCAAAAACACGGTGACTTGCATTTGGTTCTACCTTGCTTGGTGATACAATTGGCAACAGTGAAAATCTGTTGGTATGGAGGGCAGACTGCTTGACAGACCACAGACTAATAAATCTCTCAAGAGTCAAGGAAAGCATCCATACCCTCTAAAGATGCATCCCTGGACAAGTATAACTCTGGACAAGGCAGAGGAAGGGGAACTCCTACCATGGTTTGGTACCTGTGAAGCCACTAAGAGAGGTCAACCCTGATAGCAGAAGGAAAGGTAGCAGGGTGGTCCAAGGGATCCAAGGAGAAGCTCTAGTGATCGACGAATGTCCAAAGAAGTGAATGCATATGAGCTCGACAAATAGGAATGAGAGTTTCCACATCCCCAAAATAGAACCTATTGAGGTATGAGAGAATGTAACGGGAGGGCCTGTGTAACTGTTTGCTCCATGTCCCAGAGACGAAGAGGAGAAGGCTGGGCCTGACTGAGGTTGTAATTGAAGAAAATCTCCAAATTAATAAGGTATTGAGTGGGCTGAGAATATACTTCTCCATGTTGATACGTTAAACCTATCAATGCTGCTTGTGGTTCTATAACTGAGGACTGGAAGAGGCGAGTAGGAGCCAGTCGTCCATGTAATGATGAGTACAATGGCCCATGGAATGAAGTTGTAAGGCAATTGTGCATACCACCTGACAAAACACATAAGGAGCTGATGTTGGTCTGAGTGGCAGAACCCTGAACTGGAACACACAACCCTATATGATACAGTGCTAGTGAAGAAAGGGAATATTGAGTGGGAATAACAGTATAGATGGCTCAATGCTATTGGTAAGGAGTAGTCACATGATATGAATAGGTTCAGATATGATGCAAAAGTTATGTGGTATATAGACTGGTGTGCTGATCTCTTAAATTATTTTAGGAATGCTTAGAGGACAGATGAAGATTGAGGAAGAAGAACTGTCTTTTGTTATTTTTACTTGGAAATTAATATGTAAAGCGATAAAATAGCAATAAAGTGCATTTAAAATTTTAAAGAAACGTTTGGCTCAAAATGAACAGGAGGACAGTACTTGTTTCTCTAAATGAAACATTAAGAAATTTTCTAACTGACCAGTTTTGTTATCTTTCTGGTTCTTCACATTCAGAGAATGTACTGCTGTCATTTATTTCTATAAATGTGATTATCCTGAACAGCCTATATAACCCAAATCTCCAGTCATTTAATTTAACATACTGAAGTCAATAATGAAACAGTTTCTAGTAATACCTAAATTTGATAAATAATATATAGATAAACATTTTAGTTTAGTTTAAATCTTGGCATGTACAAATATTCATTTAACACATACTGAACATTTAAACAGGAACTATAAAGTATTGATGTTAATTAACATGTTAAAGTAGACAAATCGTTAGAGGATATCATGATAATCACCACTTCAAGTTAGAAGATACTAACAGTTAATTCAGAAAGGCACTGGCTGAAAGTAGTGTTGGTTGGTGGTACACTGTACTATCATATTTATACTGGCAGTTTTAGATGTTATCTACTAAAAACGTCTCTTGAATGTGGTACGTTACCAACAGTTTATGTCTTTAATGCTATTCTGTTCTGGGTAGAAAATGTTTTTATAAATTTTAAACTCAGTTATATCTTTAGTATTTCTGTATTAATATTTGTGTTGATCATGTTTGAACATTAAAATATATTTAGATGTTCATCAAATTAAGTAATGTATGATATATTTATTATTACCTAATTTTTGACATCATTTATATCTACTTCAGATAAAGACACCAGTGTGAACATCTGTAGTGGAAGTCAGTTTACAGAAGACGTAAATTTCCCAAACAACAATATTAGTGGAGAAACAAAGTTAACTGGAAATAACCTAAAAGTATCTAACAAACATCAGTGTGATGATAAACTTTACAGTTGTGGAAAAACATTTAATAATCTAACACAACAAAAGAAGACGTATTCTGGAGAAAAGCCATATCATTGTGAAGTTTGTGGAAAACAGTTTGACAGTAA